AGACTTTCAACCAGCATAACAAAAAATGTTTCTGAAGACAATCACCTATTGCACCTTTACCCACTGATTTCTAGTCGTGTCCTCTTTTGGAAGACCAAACAAAGTAGTTTTGCTTTCACAACGAAACACAGCGTCACACACGGCGGGCTAGAGTGAGTGGCGGCCTGCGGCTAGAGTGAGTGGCGGCCGGTGGGCTTGCGAACGGCACGGCCGGCGGATTCGACGAAGGAGCGGCCGGCAGGCTTGCGGCAACAACATGTGACGACCCCGGGCTGGACTCCGCTTCGTCCACCGTGAAAGCCGATCCGGCGATCCACAGCGGGAAGTTGATGTATTTTCTCAGCGACCAGCACGGATCAGCTCAGGAAAAATTTAAATCGCATCATATGACCCCTTTAATTGTCTTTTGGAAACAATTGCGTGTTCATGATTGACTGTAACTTGAAAGTTTTTCAAATGTGTTGGAAATAGCTGGAAACAGATGTGATCACCTTACCTGCACCTGTGTTGATGTTCCTCATGCTCTCCTTTGCACTGACTCTGTTGTTGGGAGGATAATCTGGCACTGGGGCCTCATAGCGCCTATCTGGGACGTGTGGGCTGGTCTTACTAGGGTAGGATCTAGGTCATAACAGGGAGATCAAGGACAAGGAATACAGATGATTAAATTGTTAAACTGAAATCAGCTAATTATTTAATTTGAGTGATTTTACTAGTCATCTTTTTTTATTTAACTTAAGCAAATCCTTTTCAAATATATGATTGCAGCCCAATAATCAATTATATAGACTGCTACAACAAAGGATCCATTTTCTATCCCATACCCATGTGAGATCCTAAAACTGCTCTATTATTATTGTCCACAAGCCATTTAAATCCTGCAATTACTGTACTGTAATCATGAAGCATTTGCTAAATTGAAAGTCTACTTAAGTTATGGATATATTCATGTCCTAATGGACATGTATGTTGATGAAACTGTGGAACACATGCTTTGGGTCATGATAGGACATGCTCTGTTTCTCACCCCACTGATGAATGCTGCTCATCAATGGCATCCACAGCACTCTCTACAGAGTTCAGCAGAGACTGGATCTGACTGGCTGATTCCTTCAACAGGAAGCGGGTCACAAACTGCTCAACATTAGTTCCACGTTCATATACCTACAGCGAGTGAGAGAGAAAAAGAGAGAGGAAGAGGACAGAAGCCAGACAGATAAGAGCACATCAGCACTTTTCTGAGGATCTTAAGCATGCATATTTGATGAAGTTCTGTTTGAGAAACTCTAATGAACTTTGCTCCAGCTTTAAGTAAAACATCCAGAGGTGCAAATCTCCAGAGGGACCCAGCGGATAAACATATCTGGAACGAGCTCAAAGAAATAAGAAAAACAAGATGCGGTTCATGTAAGTAAAAGCGAGTTAAGTTCTGAAAGCTCGCAATGGTATTGGACATTAGAGGAGACAACACTCATTGATCTGGTGACATTTTGACCGCTTCCCCAAACACTCAAGGGCTGTTTTACACCGTAGAGGCATAATGTCACACAAGGGTGTTGTATTGAAAGAAATACACTGTGAAGGTGTTAAAGGATAATGGCCCTGAAGCCGCTTTAGTGCTGAACTTTAATCATTATTGTTGCACATATAAACACATGGATTCTGTCAAACGCTCGCAGTAGCCACTGTGGAGTCTCAGTTAGAGGTTTACAATCTCTCAACCACAAATGTCTCATCTTATTTTGCAATTTCCTCATATATTCTTGATCGTTGTCCTATCTTGATATCATCGGGATGGCAAAAAACCCACAATAAAGCAATTCTCTTGCGCAGCAGCCAGACTGAAATCCTGGCCATTGTAAAAAAACAAAAACAAGTAAACAACTAGTCTTTCACTTGCTCAGTCATTGTCCATTGGCACTGATATTATGCACTGATTTGCAGAAAGATCGTCATGGTCAGCATTTTAACCAACCCTGGCCTTCACTACTGATCGCAATTGAATATTCAAATGGAAAGGCAGCATTGGCAAGGGAGTAAAATTGGACTGCAGTGCTGGCCTCTGTAAGGTATCTCGTAAATGATGCCGCATTGCCATGCAGACTTAGGATGACTGTGTATAAAAGACCATAACAGAAGGAGTAATAAACCCTGTAGTGCTCCGTCAGTCCAAGAAAACAAAGTAAGTGGGTGAAGGAGAGGGGTGAAATGTGGGGTTATGTTGCCTAGTAGTTAGATTTAAGGGCTGGAAATGAAAAGCTCGCAGGTTTGATCTATGGCTCAATGGGATAGTTAAACCAGAAATTATATTTCATAATTTACTCAACCTCATGTTTTTCCAAATCTGTATGACTTCTTTTGTGTTACACAGAGGTATGTTGTTTTGGACCACACTATAAAATGGACAAACCCTATAAAATGGACAAAAATATAGTTCTTAAAATATCATATTAGTTCTTAAAATATCATATTTTGTGTTCCACAGAAGAAAGAAAGTCATACAGGTCTGAAACGACATGAGGGCGAGTAAACGATGACAGAATTTTCAGGTTAGGGATGCATTTATATTTTATATGTAGTCTACAAACGAAAATAGTCATTAATTCTTCTCTCTTTAGACCAAATCAATTAAGCTAGTGAGAAATTTGAATCAAGGATTGAATTTGGAAAAACTATAATAAATGATGACAATTTTCATTTTTTAATTGAACTATCCCTAACAGTAGTGAAAAGGGAGCAACTTATAAAAATTATAGTTATTCATATATAATATATATAATTTATAATTTTTGAAAAAGAAGCAGAATAAGACAATAAAACAAATACGAAAGAGATACAAATTAAACTCATTTTTCAGATACAGTAGGTTTACTTAACATATTTATTTAACATCTTTTGTTGGTTAACATTAATGACACGGATAGGTACTTAATTAGGAATGCTGTCCCTTTAAGACGGAAGGCATGCAAATAATACTGACACAAGTTCAGTTTTCACCCACCTGTTTACGTTCACTTAATCCATAACCGACTGTATTTACGTGAGATACTCTACACGATAGACATTTGGACTGCTGTGTGTGTATTTGAGCACTGAGAACTGATCGCGCGCTGTATATGAGAACTGAAGAAGTGGAGCATGCGCGAGAGAAAGCACTTCCATCTGCGCGATTCTGCCTATCCCGCCTTCACTAACTGTAAGTTAATCGACAACGAATTGACTCCCGGGAAAAACGGGATGTCTGGCCACCTTATCCCTACCCCTTCGGGTGCCGAGGCCATTATTTCAGATCGTTAGTTCGCATTTTGGTAGCCTATCCATCCACTGCGGCTGCCATACTGAGACTAGATATGCGAACGCCCCTTATCCGATTGCAATCCAATGACGGGGACGCATATTTTGAAGGACAAGACAGTAGCCAATAGGATGTATTTTGAATGTCCGGTAGTCCTCAAATAACATTATAGTCCCGTCTCATCTTGTTAACGAAGACGCGGCATAAATATCGTCATACTTTTTATCATCAGATATTAGTTTTAGCTCATCAACGTCTCGTCTTAGTCACAGAAAAAATGTTCGTTAACAAATATTTTTCGTCGTCGTCTTCGTTGACGAAATGAACACTGATGTTGTCTTGCCTAAATTCACTTGTAGCATTTAAAATGATTTTTAGTGTTTTAATACAGAATTTTAATATCAGCCATACACTGCAAAATAATACAGAATTTTAATGTCAGCCATATATTGCTTATCTACGGAGCCCCGTACATGGCATGCAGAAAAAAAAATAGTAGGCTAAATCGTGTGCACGTTTTACTATTTCGTTCCCTCGATTTATAAATTGTGTGCACGATTTACTAATTCGTTCCCTCGATTTATAAATTGTGTGCATGATTTAGCAAATTGAGGGAACGAATTAGCAAATTGAGGGAAAGAAATAGTAATCCTGTGCACATTTTAGTACATCGAGGGAATGAATTAGTAAATCGTGTGTACGATTTATTTATTTTTTCTTGCATGTCATGTGCGGAGCTCCTTATTTATCAACAATAACATGAAAATAATTAATTTAGTATAATTGAGATACTATTACAGTTTTTTAAAAATATTTTGAATCAGTTTTTATTTTATATTTTCCATTTTCATTTTCATTTTAGTTAAAGTTTTAGTAATTTTTGTGTTTTTGTACTAAAAATGATAGTGTCTATATAGTTATAGGCAGTTTTAGTTTGTTTTACACCAAGTTAAACTAAATTAAAATGAGTAATGAGTTTCCTTGGTAACTAGCTAAAATAAGTTTTTAACATTTTTTTCAAGTAACAATTTTTTTTAATGGTTTTAATTGTAGTTTCAGTTTTAGTTAACTATAATTACCCTGATACCCTGTAACCCTGTTTACTAATATAATTTTTTGTGACATTGCATTAAAAAGTTGGTAGTGTGGTGATAAAGATTCTTTTCTAAATGGAGAATGCTAGTGTTTGTCATGCCCACCTGCCTGAACAAGCAGCCTCCAGGTGGTGATGATGGCGGCTGGGAAGATTCCGAATGATTTATGCTAACGGTATGCCAGGTCAGCAGCTCTGCACTGCACTTTAGTGCCAAAAAGGGCCTTAACACACATCAGCAAGCACGGAGGTAGGGCTTAATGTCCATGCCAAAATAAACGTGACTTCTCAACATAACTGGCAAAACAAATAACTTTTCAATCCTGCAAAATGCTTTAACCAAATGACAGCAATGATGACGTTAGAAGTAAATCAAGCAGTAAAACAAATAACCTGAAGATAATCAAAACTCTATATAACCGTGACAGGCCTTTAATGAGGTAAGTGTTTGAATTCTCAGGACAACAACATGCTTAGAGCAAATCTAATGATTTGGTGCACAGATTGCATGAGTGCATAAGGATATGGGGTTTAAACCTCTCTGTCATGAAATATTCATTCTTCTCTATTATGGCTCCAGTGATACATATACCCAACCACAAATGAACAAATGGTCTCTCACCCTTCTGTAAAATATGCTCTAGGCACTTATGAAAGTGTGACTGATAAGGTGAATTACTGAATAACAATGAGTGACATACTGGACTGAAGCATCCCGAGACACCTGTGCTCAAGCTGAGACCTAAATAGTCGTGAAGAGCATTATATGTGATGTGCAAAGACAGGTTTTCCACAAAATAAACAATGGCACATACAAGACGAAAATACCATCAGGGTCTGAGGAGGAGCTTGTGAGGAATTATCTAATAATTGGAGATTTTCCACAGAGAATATACATCTCCTTTGGTAAAAAATAAATAAAATGAAAGCGCTGACACCTAACATTTTTGTCCTTTGTAGAGCAAGCATTAAATATAATGAGCAAATGCAGACAAGTGGATAGTACCGCCACTTACGCAATATTTCATAGTTCAAAGGAAAACGTCTCAGGTTACTTATGTAACCATGGTTCCCTGAGTAGGGAACGAGACACTGCGTCCTCTAGGGGTCGCTTATCAAGAAACCCTCATATCAAGCTTAATAACCAATGCTGGACATTTTAAACAGCCAACGGCAAAAGAACCCCAGAATAAAATGGCATATTATGGTGGGACAAGTAATTTGACTGATTTGTCCCAGGCTCCTTAAATGCAATTTTGCATATCACAAAATGTTGCTGCTAAGAAACATATTGACTGCTGTTGCTAGGATACGATTAATTGGCTTATGTCTGAACAGAGAACGTCTAGTGTATTTTTGTCTAGTGTAAAAAAGCTTACAGTTATGCTAACATATTTACAAAAAAACAAAAAGTTAGTCACACCCTTGTATTTGTTGACGAGGCTGGCTGATAAAGATACACAGATACTGTGCCAGATAATTATACAACATACAAGCATCTGCTCATCTCCATTATATTTTATCCAATACATTAAATAGCTATTTATCACTTTTTTTATTTGAGCACCATCATAACACAGTAATCATTCTACCAGTCTAAACTTTAAACTTTACAAACACTCCAAAAGTTTGAAAAGCTAGATTTTACCATTCAGTGCTAAGTAAAATGATATTTTAGATATATTATAAATTTATTTAAAATAAATGTATTAAGTATATTATCATATTTAATATGTAGTGCTGCAGAGCTACTATTTCTCTTCCACACTAAAAATA